AAAAGTTTTTACGAAGTATCAAGCTTCCCTTTCAATACACTCTGCCTAGTGCTTGCTTTAATTCCCAACAGAGTGTAAAAGAAGGTGTTCTTATTTGATTATATTTGGATTAGACTTTTAGTGAATCATAGTACTATAGCACAGGTGTTTTTTTTTTTTCTTTTATAATTCCCAGTTACTTTGTGACATTGACACAGCTCCATCTAATCTGAATTCCTCTAAGATACACAAAGTCTTCTCTCAGGACTCTGTGTTTCCAGCACTTGCTGCTCTCCTGTGGCACCATATCCTGGTGCTGTTTTCCCAGTCGAAGTGGAGCAGAGAGCAGAACAGCCAGGCTCTCTCTTGCTGCAAGGCAGAACTGAACAGTAAAGCACCATCTGTGGGCTGCAGGGAAAGAACAGGCTTTACCTGGAAGCTCACTCTTCAGGCTCTTCCCTACCAGTACGACTGGAGAGCTGTCATTAGTGTGGCACTGCCTAGTGTACATCTGAAAGGTGATCGTATACTATATTTCTCTCTTCTTTTTTTTTTTTTTTCAGGTGAGATCCACTCCAAGGCAATGAACTCCCGCTGTTCTTTCACTTCTCTGCGTTTGCCAGTAGATGATGGTAGCAGCTGCTCTATTGACGACGGTGCCATACGGTGCTGAGGTTTGAAGAAAGCAGTGTTTTATGACAGCGGCAAGAATTACTTCTCTTTGTGAATCTATATTCTGTCGAAGAATGTCCGTTGGGCCTCGCTGAAGTGCTGTCACTGTCGTTTAAGCTGAAGGTCCTCTGCAGCAGCAGCTCCACGAAGGGGCTCTCACCTCATCAGCTGCCGTCGCACCACAGCGCCAGATTAGCAGAGAAGCTGCTGAGACAAAAGATGCTCGGTAAATACAGCGAGGGTCAGCCACAGAAGGCTGGCGTTAGATGTTCCAGAAACAAGGCTTCAGGGCGCGGGGAAGAGGTGTAAACTCTTATGAGGAGCGACTGCTGCCCCCGCGAACCCGTGCGCTCGGCAGAGCGGGAGTTGGGATGCGGGGCTCGGCGGCTCCCGCGCTGCTCTTTGGCTGTGGTGGAGCTCGGGCGAGGGGGATGCACTTCAATCAAAGCTGCAGGGCAGGAGCCTGCTGGTCGTCAAGCTGCCTGTTAATAGGTGGTATGTTTGGGAAGCCTAAAATCTCTCCCATGAATCACTAAACTCCAAACTGGCTGAGGCAGGACCGTTCCGGGATGTGCTAGGAAGGTGCTCAGCCGGGTCCTGACAGTCAAGTCTCCTCAGCTGTAAGGTCCTAAACCAAACAGAGGATGCAAAGGCCACAGCCACTCTGTCCCCAAAATCACAGAGCCACATGATTCCCCTGGCTGGGTGGGGAGGGATGAAGGTGGTGTGACATAGTGCCTGCCTGGGGCACCGACAGGTCTGGCTCTGAGGGGTGGGCACCCAACAAAGGCAGGCTGCAGGGAGGGGGAGAGGGGGCTGAGGAGGTGATCAACTAACATTGACTTTTCTTCTAATAATCAGGTCTCATTTTTAAGAAGTAAGTCTGCACTAGTGTGTGTTCCCTAGCCTGGTGTGCTATTATTCTGGTGTACACTGAAGCAGTGCACATATAAATGGAGCATATAAATGCATATGAATTTCATAAGCATAGTAAAGGAATTGGGCCTTTGGAGGCCTTCTGAGCTCAGCAGAAATGGTAGGAAAAAATGTTACAGCCATTTTACAGGTGAAGTTCCAAATCTTAGACTGAGAGTTAGGTGGGAAGCAAGTTTTCCTAGGCTTCAGTTTTAGCATCTAAATTTAAATTATGCATTTTCCTTTTCCTCCTGTAGGATAACCACAGCTCTAGTCTCCAGCTAATCTGAGAATTTTCAGCAACTGTATCTCCATGAAAACCTGAAAATGTAGTATCTGCAGTTTGGTGGCTTGATTTTTCAGCCTGCACTGCATCCAGCAGTTCTCTGGCATTTCTGGGATTACTGGCTGCTTGGCTTTATATCAACCTTCTCATTTACATTTCTCAAGTGTGAATTTAAGGATCTGAGTTTTAGACACAAATTTTTGCTTTGAAAATTGTGGTCAGCGACTCTATAGACTTGAAAAAAATATAAAAAAATATCCTGACAAGGGATCTCTCCTCCTGTGTTTTAACCCTGGCAAGTTTTTAATTTCTCTTTCCTCCCTGCCCAAGGGAAAAGATTCACCTAAGCTACAAAGCATTAGGAAACTGTCAGATCAGATGCATGATATGTATAATTAACGATGTAGAACAAAGCGATAAACCCTGCCCTGAAAAGCCTAAATCTTTTCTTTTTTGAAGTTGCCTCCTGCTTTCACCCTTCCAGTTCCCATAGGACTGTGTAATATTTAGATGAAATCAGCTACTTCAGGGCAAGAAAACAGTGCCAGTGTTTCAGTTTTCATCTGAGCGGGAACGTTTTGGAGCCTGTGAAAGAAACCCTGCTGGTCCATGGCTCTCCTTTGGCCCTGTGATCTGACAGGTACAACAGCAAATGTGGACATTTCTGTTTTCTTGATGGATTGCTGAGAAAGCAAGTTATATTTCTCGTGTCTACCTGAAAGCCGTATTAGAACCCTTCGTGTTTAATTAGCAAGGTAATATAGAGAATCAGGATATAGACTTTGCAGAGTTGGTGATTATATGTATTTATTTTTCTTTTTATTTTTAGCAAATCTTAGTTTTTGGAAATTACTGTTCACTGAGTTGCTTTGGTAGGCAAAGGGAAGATTTTTTGATTCTTGTGGAGAGCTAGAAAAGATCCCATTTGAGGGTCAGTTGGCACATAATCAGCTTCTCCAACTGTAGGCAAAAGTACCACTGGAACTTTATTGTTTTTTGGCTTCCTGCAGTTCTTAGCAGTTTACAATAAAATATAGTAAATAAAGGGGAAATCACTTACACATGAAAAAAATACCACAAAGAAACTTGAAGAATAATACCCATCAGAATAATGACTTGAAAATTGCCACTCAAGGAGTCAAGGTACCAAGCTCCATATGGGGAATCTAAAACTTGAAATGGTCTCTATGTGCCCGATAGTTTCATTCATACAACCCAGACGTGCCTGGAAGACAGCCTGGGTGCAATCATGAAGATTCAAATGGAGGAGAAAGACACAGGTTAAAGTCTGATAAAGGAAGGAACATACAATCCATGGGTTGAAATCCAGTAAAAAGTGCTTCATGGAGACTACTAAAGCCTGTTAAGCCTTTGGTAGTTATACTGTGGGCCCTCATTGAATGGCAGAGTGCTGGAGGCTGAAGGCATCTCTGGAGGTCACCTTCTCCAACCCTCCCTCACCTCCAGGTGGCTTTTGAGTATCTCCAAGGGTGGAGACTCAACAGCGCTCCGGTGAAACGTTCTGAGCCAGGTATCAACCCTATGCTGAAGAAATCCTGGCCTTCTGCTGACATGGGAGCTGCCTTGGGAATCTGGTTAGTGATGATCGAGGGCATGGCCTGAGCACAGCTCTCTGGCATGGAAATTCAGCTGGTACTTCATCTTTATTTCACACACCAGTATAGCAGATGAGGAAAGTAATTGTAAACTCTTTTCATGCAGGGCTTGTCTTCCCTCCTTGATGCCACCAGTTTGTATCATACAGGTTCAGTTTGAAATGACTTTTAAGATGTGCCAGGTAGGAACTGTTTAGAGGAATAAAATAAAGAAATCACAGTGATGCTCTTGATCTCCTTCAGGCAACAGAACATCTTGACTTGCGTCTCTTAGGGAGAACTGGAAAGTTTAAGAACTAAATTTTCAAATGAATAGTTTGACTTTTACTTTTGGCTTGGATACTAATGTATGCATTACATGTATGCCAAGTGTTCTGCATGTCAAAATATCACCAGTAATCTTGGGAAAGAGGAGGCCTTTTCGGAGAAGGACTCCAGGGAGTCAGCTGTCGTTTGAAAGTTCTCTGTATTTCAGCGGTGCTGGATATGATATGGAAGGCCAGTGATGACAGAGGGTGTCTGGACCACAGGGCTCAAACTCCTGGAAGAAGCACCACCATCCATTCTGTGATGTATGACTGGCAAAATCCCTGACCTTGCCGAAGATCTGCAGTGAGTTCTGTAAAGCAGATGCAGTTGGCATTGCTTCTGCTCTCACATGACCTGACTGCATGGTGAAGGCTGACTTATGGTTAAGTGGAAAACAGTTGCTGAACGGTGTTTGATGTCATTTAGTGTTTGCTGAATTTGCTGTTTTGTGTTTCTATTGGTTCTAGATGTACAAAGTGGGGCGTGTGAGCCAAAGGGAACATTTCCTGATGTGTTGTGCAAGGACAGTGGAGAAGTCAAGGAAAGTTCATTCTACTCTTAAAATCTCAGTTCATGCACTGTTCTTTTGAAATCCAGGCAGGTTTTGCTGACCTGCTGCGTGTAATCTCAATATCTACTCTGCCATTAAAGCACTGATTTGTTCTTTCTTCTGTACTAAAATTACACTGTTCCATGAAAACTGCCATCACTTCTGGAGAAGACTGTATCTAGTCTTCTACATCTTTATAACTGGGCATTCATGGCATAAAATGACTTCAGTGTAAGATAAACAGGAATGCTTGAAACAAACACCTGCTTTCACAGGCTGTTACTAGAGCTGGGATACCGACAGCCTGGATTTATTGGTGTGACCCAGCAGACATTTTTCACCCGTTTTTGGAGGCAGATGTGCAATAGAGTTTTATTTCCACCAGAATGTAGGTTATTAATTTATGGAAAGTAAAGGCAGAGTGAGGACTGGGAAAAACACTTTTTTAATGGCTATAATTCAGTCACCTAAAAATAATACTTGCAGGTTCTTTCTGTAGCCTATTGCCTGTGTGTTTTCTTTTTAGTTCTTTCTTGAATGAGTTAGTAATTTTTTTCTGTGTTTGATACAGCTACATTTTCACTATAATTCTGTACATGAAAAAGTAGTTAGAAACATCTGCTCCAAGCTTATTTTTTATTTAACTAACAATTAAATTCCCTTTTTTTTTTTTGCAGTGCACATAGCAACTCGAGTTGACCTCATTTATCCTCTTCAAAAACGTAAGTACTTTAATTACACCACTGCCTTCCTCCTCAGATCATTTTAAAATGATGGAATTTCAATTTGTATAGTCTCTCATCATATTGTATATATTTTTAATCTGAAGTTCCAGCTTATTACCATGTGTACCACTTCCCAGTGCTACAGGATACTATTAGACAGCCAGGTTATGAGGACAGACCTCAGCAGACACATTTCAATTTCCTTACCCTTAGAAACAGGGCTCCGGGTAGCAGGGAGACCTATTCCTCCTCACTCCTTCAGACTTTTTTAAAATCTTTTATAACTGGCACTTCATCTTTATTTCACACACCAGTATAGTAGATGAGGAGAGTAATTGTAAACTCTTTCCATGCAGGGCTTGTCTTCCCTCCTTGATGTCACCAGTTTGTATCATACACCAATTTATGGTCAGAGTTGGACAATGTGCAAAACAACAGTTTTCCATTGAAATAAAATAAAATTCTTGGCTTGGTTGAGAGTGGAGCTGTAGGCACTCCTGATAAGCTGTTTAGTGCAATCTAATCTTACCCTTCAGTCTTTGAGAGCAGCCTGTTTTGTTGCAGATCAGTCAAATATTTTGTGTGCAAGTGACCTTTTTGCTTAAACCAGGAAAAGGGATCGTATATATTTGTTTCAGATTGAACTGATTTATTTTTTGGTTCAGTTTTTGAAGGTGGTGGTATTGAGGTATACCCTGTGGTATTGAGGGCAAAATATTAAGCAGTGCAGTTAAAAAAGGTTACCCTGAAGTTCCAATTCATGCCTAATAGACATGGATTGGTATCAAATCCTGACTGGACACTTTCCTAGTGACCTTCTGAGCCATTAATTCTGTGTGCTGTGGGCATATATGGGTTTCCTAATGTGTGAGGATCTGGCTTGGTATCCTTGTGTATTTTTAGGTGCACAATGAAATTAGAGATCTGACAAAAGAGCAGGAGAATGTGTTTTTGAATATCAGAAAATACAGTCTCAGTAGCAAGTCCTCATGGGACTATTTATTTATGTACAGTTAAGGTCTGCAGCCTCTATCTGTTATGTGGTGATTGCCTGGAGGGAAAAAAATATGTATTTATCCATAATGAAGTAGTGCACAGTTCATACAAACAGATATGCTGGAAATTAAACCAGGAAAGGGAAGTATTCTCAGTGGTGTGCTGGGAATATATAGGGTTTCCTAAATTATAACTCTGCATCTCCAGTAGGTCCATTATTAGATGATTCATGTAAAACTTCCCTGGCTGTGCAAATACCCCGGATGTGTCATTACAAATGCGGTGTCAGTGAAATTATTTTGATAAAGCAACACAGTTTTATGTCGTGTTTCTATCAATTTATTTTCTGTATAAATAATATAGAAAGCGTTGTTTTCTTTAATATCACTTTCTCTTTTTTTGGTCAGCTTCCTCTTTCACACAAACAACCAAGCCAGTAACCAAAATAAAAAAAAAAAATTCTCTTTTCTCTTGAGCACTAATTAGTTACTGTACAGTACCTTCAGCAGCAGATTTTGGTAGAAGGATGATACATTTTCCTGAAGAATGTTTATTTCTCAGCCTGATTTTTTTTCATTTAAGATAAATAAGTTAAAAATGTTTAATTTCTATTCTTTTGCCCAGTATTGATTTAAGAAAAGAAAGCTTTGTGACAAAACAAATGCGAATGTCTGGGGGAAAAAAAAAAGTATCATTTTAGCCAAATGGCTAAAATGCATTATCAAGTGATAAATGCACAGATTTTTTATCTTTCCCTCACCCCTCACTCCCCCATCACAATTAACTACAGCAAAGGAGATTTTGTAATGTGAATATATTCACTGACAACTGAGTGGAGGTAAACTCTTTTTTCCCCTAAACTTAATTTCTGCCCTGCTTTCATTTTTTTCCAATTTAATATAGAATAAGAATGGGACAATCACAAAAACACCCACGGCTGCCTGTAGCTCTCTAGCTCCCTCTCAGAACACCACCACAGGACATCAGAAGGACAAAGTGAAATATTTTTAGATGTGGTATTTCTGTATCCTACTAGAATATAATGAAAATACGATTTCTGATGAAGATAATGCATAGTTTATGTTTGAGCATGCTCATGTGCATATTATCTATTTCCCCAATATGATGGAAAAAACCAGAACAATCAATTTAGTAAACTTTTTTTTTTTACATAGAATCAGAGAGAGGTTTGGGTTGAAAGGGATCTTAAAGATCATCTGGTTCCAACCCCACTGCCAAGAATAGGGAAATTTCTTTATGTTAATAGTGGCAGTCAAAAATCATCCACTTAACTATAGACAGGACTAACATTAAGTAATAATAATAAGCCAAAGAATTTATCATAGATCTATAAGGAGCTACGAAAAAGCAGACGCTAAACCTGGAAGCTTGAGGAAATGTTTTCTTTTACACTTTCTTTTTCTTTTGCTACATACAATAATCCTAGCATCTTTCAATGGGCTATTCAGCTATTTCCTTTATCAGCAACAGTGCTACATTCTAATATGTTTAGAATTTTCCAAGATACCTTGCAGTTTAACACTTATAGATAGAATAAGCTGAAAGGATTCCCCCCACCCCGTCTCCCAGCACAGGATGAAGAAGAAAGTAGAAAACAGGAAGAAAAAAAATCAAATATTCAAAGTGCAGTAAGGTTTAAATCCACAGGTATATGATATCAGTCACCAGAAGCTATCAGAAGTCCTCACTTGTGTATGAAAATAAGATATGGAATTATTCTGTTTCTCCTTTAATGTTTTAAGTTTGCAGAACTGGGAAGAGGAGTTTTTAATCCTGAAACACAAGATTTGTATCAACAATTCTGTGCAACTGTTTCCTTTCAGATTCTGGCTGCAGGAAGCTTTTGCTCTCACAAGTCTACATGAAAAACTCCAGGTAGGATAATCCAGATTTAGTGAACATTCTGCAAAACTGATAGCAGTATGGATTCCATTCTTTCTCTGCAGGGCACAGTTGTGCTGTCATTTGTCACTGATGAGGTGCTTTGTTAGCACACAGAAGCTCTTACCTTGAAAACAGCCTTCTTGAACAACAGACCTTTTCTTAAGAAAATAACTGTTCCGTGGATGTTTTTGCACAGCCATCACTCCTGCACTGGAGCAGATGTGGAAATGTTCGTAAGCTCAGTGAAAAGCTACTTTAAAATCAGTCCTGGTTCACAGATGCTGTAAACATCTATTTTCATCAGTTAAAAAACGTGGTAGCTTTTCCTAAAGCAGTGTCTGAGATGATTTTGTTTTGATTGTTCAACACTGTTGGTGTTGAAAATAGGTGTGTCAGCATTTGAAAGATGGTCCTCAGGCACTGAGGTTTTTTTTAATAGCAAGTAAAATTCTCATTAAGGGGCAATTTTAAAAAGCAATAACATTCATTTTTTGGGCTGTTAAGCATATAGAGTGTTTATATTTCCAGCAAAGAATGAATTAATGGAAAATAAATTTCTGTCATGCACTAGTGCCACAGCATTGCAACATAATGTATGTGAGGCTGATTGCAAGTCAGCCTTTCAACAGGATTATACATGATCAAAGCTTCTGGAGTGAGAACTATGTAACTTAAATGATTGAAAACAATTTTAATGTTTGTCTTCTCTCTTTTTCTTTCAAATCAAAGCTTGTTTCTTGTTAATGATGTGTTAAATTTAAAAAGCCACAGCTCTCAGTCTCTGTATCTCCCTAATTACAGGCAGACATGTTTGGTGTCACATCCCTTCAACACACAGACAACTCAGGTTCTTTGCCTTAGGTGCCTGTTGCTGGTAGGATTGACTGCACTGGCCTGAAAATATCTGCCTCTTTTGATGTTTGAGTTACAGGTCAGTGCCAGGTCCCAGCAAGGCGAGATGCTGTTCTTTGAAGGAAAGTCCCAGCAGATAGGACAGGACTTCCCACACCCTACAGGAGGCTGGGTGTCCACCAAGGAGGGCTGAACTCATTCACAAGGACCCGACTTTCCATGCTCACCTTCTGCAATCCCTGACTCTTCTGAGACAGTGATAATTCACTCTGGAAGGCCTGGTGCCTGAAGTAGTTATCCATCACTATCAGCACAACTCAAACCATCAAACAACTCCCACAGGACTCTTTCAGATGTTAGTTTAGTGATTTTAAGTCACTAAGATGCCTTGTGAATTTTTATGTCCACTGGCACAATGCCAAAGTCTAAGAAAAACCTATATTTTGAAAAAAACCCTATTGATAATGAGATAATACTGAACCTCTTATTTATTAAATATTTATCATTATCCAGAAATGACACGTGAAATCAGGAGCAGATTGATTTTCAAACAGAACTCATGAGAACAATCTCTCTCTTGGTAGGACTTAGTAGAACTTTGCTATCTCTGTAGCAACATTCAGGATCTAGTAACTAGGAAGGCCTGGTACACCATGGGGATTAATGCTCTAAACAAACCCAGGGGGCTTCAGAGGGGTCAGAACATGCTCATTTCTGTGCCTACTTCCATAATCACACGGATTAATTTTTTCAACAAACTGAACTGGCTGCAGCAGAAATCTCCACTCTTCTGTGCAGTCCTTGTCTCAGCCTGTTCCCACAGACCCAGACATGCAGGGGTGCTTTCAGACTGCCCAGGTGCCATGCCAAGCTCTCCCTGCCTGGCAGCCTGCCCTTCCAAGGCACCACTGGTGGGAGAAGGGCCAGTGCTCCACTCTACCCTGCCCATGGAGAACTGATCTGGTGTCAGGGCTCTGCCTTTCTTCAATGTCACCGACGTTGCACAGATGCTTTCGCGCAGTTGGCAGATGTGGCCCGGGAAAGACACGGAGTGAAACTCTGCAGGAAAGCTGCTTGCAAGTGGTATTAATAGAAAAAACACATGCAGGAGTGATCTGAGTAACTTCATTTCCTTGAGGAGGCAATAGTGAGGCCAAGAAGAAATTCAAAAGTAAAATAAATGATATTGTTAGAGATGTGAAAAAATAGCATCCCCTTCTTTCCTTTCTTCCCCCTCCTTCCTGCCTGCCCCCTCCAGTTTCATCCACTGTTTTGATGGAGACAAATACAAAGTATTTTGTCTGGAATATCCATACTTGATTTTTCTGCCTTTTTTTTTTTTTTAATTTCCTCATAAGAAAATTAATTTTTATTAGTGACCCCCAAGGCTTCCTAAAAAGAAATTTATGCTATACCCAAAATTTTAAAGAAGAAAAGGACTATTCTGTTTTAGCAGTTATCAATTATCTCAACAATCTATCATCACCAGAATAAGTAGACAAGTTCTCCAAACTGACACTTCAAATGAGTTGGCTGATGTCGAATAACACACAATTTGCACAGCATTTTCCCAGCTTCTAGAGCTCTTTCCTTGGAAATCATTATGGAAAGTGTTGGAGTAGCAACTTCTGGCATTGATATGTTGCAAAATATCTCCACAGCAGATTGAAACTCTGAGAAGCTTCCGGCATGTCAGACACAGTAGAGTTTGTCCTATTCTCCTGTTTTTTCAGTGAGAATGCCCTCAAGGCAACTCACAACATCTGCTGTGAACACATGAAATCCTTCCCTTCTCTGCAGCCAGCTTGCCACTGGGTTTGATGGAGCCAAAATATCAGGCTCGTTCAGTGGAGCCAGGCGCAGCTCGGACAGACAACAGTGTGAAAATCAGCGAGACAACAAACTTTCAGTAGGAGGAAAAGGGGAGAATCAAACACAGAAATCAGTGCTGCAATTAAAAAAAAAAAAAGGCATATAATTTTTTGTTGCACTGCAGAATTTACAGCTGATCAAGCCATAACCCCCAAGCCTCTCCTTTTGATTACTTTGGATGCTCTTGGTCCACAGCGCCTTTTACCTTCCCTCTGGTCAGAGTGGCCAACAGCGTTCTTGGCCATAAAAACCAGGAGAGGGAAAATCACTTGGTGTCTTTTTAGGCATTCACTGGCAAGGAAACTGGAAGAGTCTTGAATGGTTACAGGTCTTCATGGCAAGAAAGGATGTTGCAACAGTCACGCTGCAAACACTGTAGTGAATGGAAAAAAAAGCAGCACTGGAAATCTGTTCCCTTACGGATGTTCCAGTCGAGACACAGTCACAATTATTTTAGGAGGGAAAACATCATACACTAAATACATTTATTATTTGGATCTGTTTCTGCTTTGGACAGATTGTGACAATCTTACATAAACACTCAGTATTAGGACAGTCTGATGTTTGACCCAGATCTGATTATTTTGCAGCACACACAACTGTGCTTCCAGGGGAAGATTCCCCCATGTCAAGTTTCTAAACAGGGTAAATAAAGCCATCTGTTGTGGAAGCAGGATTTTTAAATTATATGCCCTGTTAACCACTGTTTTGCACACTGAGCTATTTGTGTCTAAAGAAACAACCTTATGCCTTTCCAAAAGGAGTTCTGCTCTCCTGATTTACACGTTTTATGGGCCAGATATCAGATGTCTAAAATAACTTTTATTCTTCTTACATTTACTTCTATCAGACTGATTTCAATCTTCTCCCTTTCCACTGACCCCTTGTGTTTCTTTCTGCTTCCTACTTTCTCTTGATCTGTAATACAAATATAATTGCAATCAATATTTTATGAAAAGTTTGGTCAGCGAAAGTAATACTTGAAAATATAAATATGTTATATATTTTATATCTAGTAAAGTAATTAAAATATCTCACATGAAAGAGATCTCATCAGCCTCTAGCCCAATGCAAGCCTCTTTTTCTCTGCAGGGATAAGTAAGAAGCACGTAAAGGAAGTAAGGGAAAATTTCCATGGTAGGAATGTTTTTTTCCAGACCTTTCAATAAGTGTTTAAGAGAAACATTTTTTCCCCCTGGAAAAACTGCATTTGAAGACTCCATTTGTTTATCTAAATTTTGTTGAGTCAGCAAGTGATTTAAATTGCTATTTCCAGGACTGTTTCACTCTGTGCACTCTCTTCAGTCACGAAGAGAACCAGTCCTGGCTACAAAAGAGGAGAGTGAACACAAATTTATGCCACGAATTAGCACATGGAAGGAACACCAAGTGCTGTTTCACCAACCACTTTATCACTTTGGGGGTCCATATGGGTTTCTTTAATAGGGTTTAATATTTGTCCTCTTTTTATTCTTATGGGAAGGGATACAACAGACTAGACACTGATGTCTCCTTAAGGAAGTTGGGGCACCATCTGTATTCATGCCAGCTAAAATTCTGCTCAGCTGGCTCCCTTTTTACCTAAGCCTTAGAAAAGTTCAAATATATATATATATATAGTTCAACTTTTAAATTCTCTTGCACAACTTGATATATATTTATTTATTTCTGCAATGGTGCCTTGTCCTGTTAGTCTGCTGCAAGGCTTCCTGGTGCTTGGTGATTTTGGGATTATGAACTCCACCAGTAATGGGATTTGCAAACATGAGGTTCAATCTACAGAGCAGTAGTGTGGGTAACACTCACATGCACTAATATACATAATATACTTAACATACATACATTTCAATAATAGATGTGTTTTGCTGATGTAGAAGGCAGTACTGGATCTTGCATTGCAAACTCTAACTTTTAGCAGTTTCTTATGACTGAAACATTTGCTTTGATGACTTTAAAAAATCAAGTACCTGCAGAGAAGACATAGAGATCATCTTGTCTATCTTTTAGTAAAGCACAGGATTCCATGTTCACCCTGATACCTCTGTGTTAGAAGTCTCAAACACCCTAATTGGACAGCCTAATTTATGGGGTTTTTTTAATAGTCACAATTGTCATAACACACATCTTCCAGCACTGCCTAGAAGGCAAAGATATGAATAGTTCACAGGAAACTGGAGCCTGTTTGAATGGTCCATTACCCTTATTGTTAAGAATTTGTGCTTGCTGTCTGCACTTACTGTATTTAAATCTTCACTTTATGTTCTTTATGTTAAATCTTCATTTTATGTAGAAAATTAGAAACTGGAAAAGCTACAAGAAATAATGAAGAAATGGACTGGAAGAGACCTGAGGTGAGATTTAGATACTTCTGAATCTCAGAAATGGCAAAAAGCAAAGCAACACTTTTTGTTTGAACCAAGTAAGTTCAAACATTTCTAATTTTCTTTACCAAGTGAATTAAAAAGGCACAAATTGGTATCTTTAGAGTGGATTGTTTTTTGTTGTAGTTACCCTCACTGACTTCTATTTTAACTTGATCCATGATTTCAGGATGAAATGCACATTTTTTGTTACAGTCTAAAAAATTTGTTTCAGAAATTTGTTTCAAGACAATAAATAGAACCAAAAGTCCTGATTTAATTAGCTATAAGAAGTGGTTGAAATGCAAACATAGAAAAATGGCTAAATTATTTGCCATCTTAATTTTTTATTCCTTCTCATATTCTTTTTCTCCGTAACTTTGCTTTCATTTTTTTGCTAAAGGCTCAGTCCTGCTGCTTTTAAAATAGTAAATTACCCCTAAGATCAAATGAGATCCTGAGGGAAGTATTTAAAAAGAAGAGAAATTAGGATATTTATCCTTCTTGCCATTTGGCAACTAGCTAAAATATCTAAATTAGAAGAATATTTCCCCTCAGTTTAGCATATGACTAATAGGGAAAGGACATTGCAGTAGGCAATCCACAATGTTAAACAAAGTTCTTGCTATGAAGAGTCTTTTCCTCTGGACAGCATAAATAATGTAGAGAGGGTAAGGTAAGAATTTAAATTTAGGTGGTATTAAGAACCCTGAAGAGTATTGACAGGCTTCTGAGCAAATAATAGCAGCTGATTCCAACCAGTACAGCAATATGACATATGGACATTTAATCCAGGACTCCTAAGAATTTATTATGATGGGTCTTGAAAAAAAAAATTAGTCCTAAGTAGATATGGTTGAACCCAACCATTGTTAGGCATTTAATATTATATATAAAAAGAATTCCACTAAAATCTAGATAGTGAACATTTGATAGCTGATTACCATGATCTTAATTTTATCTTTTTTTTTTTTTACATGATTTTTATACCAGGTCTTGTTAATAAATAATTTACCATATGCATGAGGGACTGGAGGCATCTCCAAAAAATAGTCTCATTTCCATAGAACTGAGATGCTCCTGATTTAGTTACATTTTCTGTTTTTCTTTTTTTGCCTCCTCTCTGTTTCTGGGTTTAGACTACTTTTGAGCTTTTTGCTGCAGTAAAATAGAACAGAGAGAGAAAACAATTCAGCAGCTGAATTACTGTTTCTGCTTTGTGTAGATATGTAAAAATCTTGGAAAACTTGGTGAAAGTGTTCATGAAGCCCCTGTCACATTAAACTTTTGACCAGACAGGGATGACTCTCATGTGCCAAGCTGCTGGACATTCACACCAGCAAAGGAATCATCCCAGGATATATTTCCTTCAGATTCGTGGAGCTGTGTGATTTTCAGTTTAACTAAGCTTTTCACTTTGGAATTTCCTACCATTTTAAAAACCACACAAGAACAAGGTCTGTCTGTCACTCCACAAGCTGTGTCAACTTACTTTAAGGCTTCTTGTCTCTCACCCTTCAGGCAAGACTTAGTTTTGCATAATTCACATATTTTAACAATTCAGAAACTTTCTGGATGATGTTCTATCATGACTTCAAGCTCTTTTGTTGTAAAGCTAACTTTTTACTGTTTGACAGAAAGATCCACAAAATCCCATCACAATGAATGGTTATCACAGACTCACTTTGGCAAATGCCTTCCAAGACACCGATCGCTGTAAAGAATAAAAAAATACTATTTAGAGTGAGATTACAGACAGGGCAAGGGTGAAGAATTAGAAATAAAAAAGTTCCACTTTGCCCTATTTCTTACTAGAAATACTTCAGTTCCTGTCAGGTATATTTAAAGGACTGCAAGCTCAAACATAGAAAAATACTCAAGTTAACATTAGCTGTAAAGCTGATACAGTAGAATGTGTTGATTTAAAGAATAGCTGGTGACATAACTTCTGATGTTCCTTTATCATATCTTCATGTGATATCACTTTACATGATTTTAAATGTAATGCTTATTAAAAGTGCAAGTCTATCATATATGAAACATGTGCATATGTTCCTGTTCCATGAGAAAATTCCAACTTTGCTTTGTGGGT